CCCCCCTCCTCCCCCCCCACCCCCGCCCCAGGCTCCCTTGGTTTCAAGGCTGAACATGTTAAGCTTGAGAAGCCATCGCCACTATCTCAAATTGTGTTTGTTTGCACCCTCTGGACTCTTTCAATGATGTACATAATTTTTCAGACTTAGTTTTTGCTTTGTGTATTTGTGAGCACCTTTTCTTATCTCTGCAAGTTCTTCTGTTTCTGAGATTTGTTGATTTAGTTTAGACCACGGGTATTTAAAGCCTTGTATGCCTTTCTGTGTTAAAACTCGGCTTAAGGTGATGTATTTTTGAGCAAACATTAGAAATGCATGAACATAGCGTGCACATCTTGTTACTAAAAATCAGATTTTATCTGGAAGGAATGCCTGGAAGTGTTATCATAAAAGTAGATTGTTTCCTGGTGGATATTATGAAAATCCCAGTATCCACACACTATAATGCACTCCATAAATCTGTCATGACTGAATGTAACCTTTATTACATGTAGCCCGAGAGTTAGCTCATGCCATTTCTCAGTCACTGCGGCCTGACTGGCGATGACACATGCATTAAAAGGCAGGCGTGTTATAGCAGGGCACAGCTGCAGGCTGAAGTTACAATAAAAAGCTGATTCAGTGCTCGTGCTGTGGTGTTTGGGGGGTTTTTGTTTGCTTGTTTTTTTTTTTTTTTTTTTTTGCTTTAGCCAAACGCTTGGCCGTGAGTAGAAGCTGCCTCTTTAAGAAGCCTCTGTGTAGGTAGCGGGAGCAGGCTGCGAAATGGAGGAGAAGCTTAGCTTTGCTGCGAAGCCCGAGCCCGAGTGTAACCTAACTAGCTAGAGGATATGCGCTGCCTGATTGACAGCAGGACCAGCATTATGCAAATGCTGTAAGCGAGCAGCAGCGAGGGAGCCGCGACCAGGGGCTCTGTTAGGGATCTCTCTACGCACGCCATGCTTATCGCCCTGTAGTTTTTCCTTCCTCCTCCTGCTCGGTTAGGAGTCTACACGTTTTCCCCAAACAATTGTGGCAGTTTTTGGCCATCGGTACAGGCAGAATCCCGAGTGCAGTTTCGGTTCGAGATATGTGTGAGGGAGCTGGAGATATGTGTCAGAGCTTGTTACTCAAGCTAAATTAGGTAATTTTTAGCTGGGTAATGTGCTAATCTTTAAACCTTTATGTTTTTAAATCCTATGTATGTCTGGGCTCTTCATACAAAAGTGTATTTTGCTTGTTTCTTCTCGTCGTCTTCAGTCTGAAGCCTTATGTAGGTCAGGCTTGGCTTAAGCAGATTTCCTGAACCTGCGTCAGCTTAAGCTGAAGGAATTTTAATAAACCCTCCCTTGTAGGCGTGGGCCTAAATGAGACTAGCCTAGTTAAGCCTGATCTTTTTCTGTTTGTGAAAAAGAGCTGAGCAGAGCTAGGGACTGCATGGTGGCTTCAGGAACTGCTTCCTTAATTCAAAGATAACAATGGTTGGGAAGGCCAGATCTTCTAATTTTACCTTATCTGAAAAGCTTGATTTGCTAAAACTCGTGAAGCCGTATGTTCAAATTCTTGAAGAGCATACCAATAAGCATTCCGTAATAGTGGAAAAAAACAAATGCTGGGATATCATAGCTGATAACTACAATGCCATCGGAGTAGATCGCCCTCCTCGCACTGCACAGGGCCTGCGCACGCTGTACAAGAGGCTCAAAGAATATGCCAAACAGGAGCTATTGCAGCAAAAGGAGACTTATTCAGACTATAAAAGCAGCATTTCCGAGCCAACCAAGAAAGTTGTGGAGATGATTCCACAGATTTCCAATGTGTGTTTAAGAGAAAGGAGCATTTCACAAAGGTGAGATAATTTTTTTTTTTTTTTTTTTTTTTTTGTTGAATGAAAATTATGGCGCCTCCTACCTACTCTGTAAGGCTTTTCTTAACTTGTGTTCAGTGTCCTAAAGAAAAGGCTTACAAGAGAACACCCCAAAATTGGGAGCAATGACAAAATAGTATTTCTTTTGTTTTTATGGTAAGCTTTATGGTGACTTAGCACTGCATTCATTTTTCAACTCTGGTTCAAAGCCTGTTTCAGAGTCTTTGTCATACTCTGGAAAGTGAGGGTTAAGAGGGAATCAAAGAGAAATAGTAGCTCTACCCCTCCCCTACCTTTTAATAGGCAGATTATTCAAACACTGGCAAAGTGGTGGCTATTCTCCTCCATTTAAGGTAATACTGCAGTCATTTTGCAGCATATGGAACAATTACTAGTTTATATAAGATGTTTAATAAAGTTAGTTCATAGAATTAAGAAGCCTTGTTCCTATACCTTTTTTATCTCATTTACTGTGATGTTTGCATATTATATTTTAACTGATCCTAATCCTTAAAGAAAAAATTGAATCCCTACACCACAGTGTCTTTGTGAGTGCAAATGTATTTTTAAATTATACTTTTCTTGCACTGACGGTCATTCTCTGAAACTGGAGCAAAGCTAATTGCAGTCTAAACTCCAAGTACTTCTGTATTGTGTATTAGATAGCTTAAATAAAGAGAGAAACTGAGAGGTACAGCAGCAGAAGTTTCCTTTTTTTTGTAGTTTTTTTTTAACTGCTCAGTAAAGTGAGACACACTGTCTAGATTTGAGCCAGACATAATACAAGCAGGCAGCATGCAGGCTTTCTCACACAGCTGGCTAATGCCCCTCAGCTCTGACTTGCAACACTCTGCTGGTTCTGTATGGGTCCTGGAGGGATCAAAAAATGCCTGGGTCAGGTTTTGGTTCCACCAGATGCAAAAACTAAGATGGGGAGGAGGGAGGGAAATTCAAACCACCTCACAGCAATCTTGAGAAAGCTCTGATTTTTTTTATTATTTTCACTAGCAGATTAATGGAAGTGAACTTGCCGTATTTTAATCAGATATACTGATAGCTGGTGCAACAGCTAAGCACTCTTAAGAGAAGCTGGCATGCGCATGCAGGATGAATTTGATTCATGGTGCCACTGGTTGAACTGAATGCTAACAATTGTCTAAATCCCAATGTGCCAGATGCTCTAAAAATATGCTGTTGTGGGTCCTGGCGTAAAGAAGGCTGAGGCAACTGGGCTGTGCTGCTGGTGAATGCCCTTGGAGGAGCAGCTCCAAAGGAGACTCTGGAACAAAACAGGGCTTTTAATTGCGCTAATAAAGGTTGCAGTGTCTTGGCTACCAACTTTTTTGTAAGGAAGAGGGAAGAGGAGGGGGGAAAAAAAAAAAGTTGTATGAGAACTTAGGTTTGTAGATAGGCTCATGAAAAGCAGTGACGCTTTTTATGAATGGTTGAGAGCTAATGATCTCCATAGTTTGTCTCCTATAATTTAAACATTTTTTGCAGTCCGTTGTGGCTCTAGGAGCATTGACTTGATTACTGCTCACCCAAAGTGTTTTTTCCTAGGATCAACCAATACAGTATGTGCTGAAGAAATGGAATATCATTTAAATATTTTGTTTTCTGCCCAAATATATCATTACTTTTATAGTTTTAATCTTAACTCTGAGTTACATTTTCCCCTGATTTTGAGCAGTATATTAGACTTTAACTCACTAAAGCATGGCTTAGGTTTTTGGAGGGAAGTACGACTTATGAATCCAAATTCTTCATCGCACCTTTAAGTGATTTCTGGCTTACTGTGATTAAATGAAACCTAGTGAATCATGGGTGTCTCTGGGGTTATAAATACCATCCCCCAATTGTGGTAACTGTTGTTTGTCTGTCTTTCAGTCAAGCTGTCAGAAACAACATTTGTAACCACCATACAGGAGTTTCTTTTGTTTCTCAATTCCTTCTTTCTCTCCCTGTCTAATTATTTTAAGAGACTGTCTTAAAAAAAGGCCTTCTCTGAGTTACCTGAAGATTTGGTAATTTGCTAGTTCTTAATGGATTAGACTGTAAGAGATGGATTTTTTTTTTTCCAGTTTGGAGGCTCTACGTTGGACCAAATCTTACCTATCTTTCTTCTCTTTAACCTCTCTCACTTTCTCTTTCTTCCCTCTGTTTCCCTTTGTCAGACTGACCTGCTTCTCCAGCTAGTAGCTTCCACTTTTCTCAGGCTACAAGCTGGCTAAGTGCCAAAAAATAAGAACGAGGGAAATGGTATTAGAAGCTGCGGTTGTGAACCAGGGGAAGCCCAGAAGTATAGTCAGCACTGGAGAAAAAGGGTGGCAATTTATATGGTGAAAATAAAGCATAGTTTGGAAGAAAGCACTTCTGATGCTTAGTGAGAGGAGTAAGAGGAACGTGAGAAAGGGGTATACTGAAAAAGTGAAGCTTTGTGGCATGAGGAGGAAGTGAGGTCTTAGAACTGATACTTTATAGGCAGCTCAGGTAACAATAGGTAGAATTAAGATTATCCGACGTTTCCTTCTGGGATAAATGAAAGTTCTATTTTAAGTATCTGCTTCAGGTGGATTTTTTTTTTAAAGCTTTAGTTAAAATAGTTTGGGTGGTTGGCAGAATTAATTACAGAAAGTATATTGCTCTCACCCTATTAAAGAGACTTACAACTGAGCATTGAGAAGCTTTCATGCCTTTGTTCTAGAAATTGCACCTTCATATTAATGGATGGTGGGCTAGATCAGGGTCCTGCAGAAATTGGCCACTTATTTCTTCTGAAGCAAGAGTTTCAAAGACCGTGGGGCAGATGCAGAGGCGATGATAATGCCTCCTCTTGATATCACTGTTAAGGAGTGTTCATTTACACAAAATGCAGGATATACAAATTAAATTCCTCATTTGCTTCTGGGAAGTTGAACCCACATCTGCCACTAACCAGGGCACTGTGTTAATAATTAGACAGTTGTTTCTCCAATTGTGGATTGTAGGACTCACAAGGAGTTAAAAAAGTTTAAAAATCTCTCCCCCCCCCCCCCCCCCCCCCACTTTTAATAGCAACTCAGGTCCTTCAGGGTTGGGGAGCATCTGTAATTACTGCTGTGAATTTATATTAATCATGGATCCACTGCCTTTAGCTGCTAGCAGCAGGTCAGTTCTTCCAGATTTGGGGAATTTCTCCTATCTGCAGCCAGTAGTTCCAGCCCCTGTTTCAGAGAATCATGGCCATGATGATATACCGGCAGTACCAGCTTAATGTGTTCCTGTTCCCATATTATAGTATACTGCCTCCCAAGTCATACTCAAAATATTCTTTGTGGATCTATACAGTAAAACAGATCAAACAGCTTATCTAGCTTAAAGTATTTCCTGAATTAAGGGGTGATATGCACAACTAAGACTTTGAAACACAACTGATGGTAGAGAAGTAGGCAGGGACAGCTTGAGCCATTATTATCATCAAAGCCAAGGTAATGTCAAATCATGATTTGAAGTGCTGCTGACTCAGGGGTTTATACAAAGACACATGAGTCAAGTGGGTGTTGTACTTTTAAAAAGCTGGAGAAACACCGTGCAGAACTATAGGCTGTTCTTGATGGAAGCCTAAAGCGTCAGAAAAATACTGAGATCACTGGTGCAAAGGGAAGGAGCAAGAATTAGCTCGACTCCATAGCCTACTAGTAAGGCCATCCTCTGGCCTCTGGTTTCTTCTCCCAAGACTCTGTGTAATTTTGTTCAGCGATTGTTTTACATAAAAATACACTTACACCTGGATGCATGAATCGACGATAGGGAACACATTAGAACAGGAGGAGATGGAATAAGTTTGGGAGATGGACATGTTTCTAGCATAGTCCACTCAATCTAAATTTATGCTTTTTCCCCATATTCTGTATTGTACAGACTATTTGCTGTATCACTTGCATCACCTGCTGCTCCTTTCCTTTTGTTCTTGTTTATCACTAATAGCCCTTCTAGCTTATCCTGTTTCAGAATGAGGACCTGCCGGGATGGTTCTCCAATAGACTATCCTGCCTGCTTAGTACTGATAGCACCTGAATAAGAGAGGGCTAAATGTACGTGGTAGAAAGGAAGAGAGGTACAGATAGTGTTCATGTAATGAAGTAGAATCATAGACATAGCAAAGATTAGTATTTCAAATGAAACTTTTGTTACTTACAACCACACTTTTTGTAATGGCTTTTCATGGATGATTTAAGTATGATTTTGTGTGTTCTAGTGCTGTTATCAGTAAAGAAACAATTGCTGGTACCAGTTCACCACAGGCAGTGTTGGATCACCATCCTGCGACAGTCATGATGGAGTTGCAATTGGAAGAGGATGTCAAACCGCCTCCCTCTTTGGTTATAGATTCACAGCAAAGTGAGAACTTAGGACAAGAGGAAGAACACCAGTTGGTGCATGTTATGGAAAGGTCTCCTTCGACATCAGTATCTTCAGTTGATATGAGAGTGATGATGTCTCCTTCTCCTATTCCAAGAAGAGATGAGCTTTTTAGGCTTGAGGTTGGAGAACGCTTTAGACCAATGTGTGGGTATGACCCACAGATGTTGCAAATGCTGAAAGAAGAGCATCAAATCATTTTAGAAAATCAAAGAAGAATTGGGCTTTATGTCCAGGAAAAAAGGGATGGTTTGAAAAGAAAGCAGCAGCTGGAAGAGGAACTATTGCGAGCGAAAATCAAAGTAGAGAAGCTGAAGGCAATACAACTACGGTGTGGTCTACCAGAATACAGCAATATCTAAATATTTTATTACTTCTGTCAAATTCTTTGAAATACTTAATAATAAATGCTTTTGCCCTAGCAAAATTGTTTCTTATGTTAAAGAAGAATTGTTTCTTATGTCAAAATCTGGTCTTGAGAGATGAAAGCATATTTTCCACTTTGTTGTTTAAGTACCTTAATGAAAACGTCTTGTACAGGTTTGAATCCACTGACTCTTCTGAAGTATAATCAAATCCTGTAGCTCTAACTGTTTAGGATGATAAAAATCCCAATGTTTTGAATATTTTCACTTATTCCTAGTAAAGTTATAATGAGCTAATGGAAATTTAGTCCAGCTCTTCTTAAAAATTTTGATCATATGCATAATTTTTTTCAAATAAATGCCTATCCTCTAATAATCTTTATGAAGTTACAGGTTAATAAATATATATAAAAAGGAAGTGTTAGAGGCTATGTTTAAGTATCTTTCGTATTCATTTCAAGTTGGTAAATCTCATGACAGTGGTGAGATTTTGCTGATATGTCAGCTTGGAAAAAAATTACTGGATTGTTATATTTTTTTAATGTTCCGTAGACAGTTGAATAAATGTACATCTTTTAAAAAGTTAATGCTATTTTTTTTGTTTTCAGTGGATGAGTGTTTCCATAAGACATTATCAAAGTAGATACAATGAATGCAACACTTCAGGTTTTTAAAACTGCATGCATGTGCGATTTGTGTATCGTTACCATGATCGTATATTGAGTTATAGCAATTACACTGGTGAGCAACCACAAAAATGTCTGATTTGCTCATTTGCATGCATAATTACTACAGTGCATGTGCAACCAAGACAGTTGCAGATGCCTTTGATCAATATGACTATAAGCTACCAAAATGAATTAGTTTCTGTATGTTAACGTGACTTGAAATCAACAGAAGATTCTTTGTTATTCTGGGTATCTTTTATAAATGCTGTTGTTCTGGTCTTTTGATGAGTTTCAAATAAAAAGCCCAAAATGAAAAAGAAATAGATTCTTCTGTCTGTCCCATTAACAGCCCTTTCCTATGCTGTTATGATCAACATTCATGAACTGGAAGCAAAATACCTGGAAAGCACAAGTCCTAGACTATTCACTTCCTCATAACTCTTAGTCTCTTGTCTGTTATGAATAGATCCACAACTGCCTTAGACCTCTGGCTCCTTATTCCCTCAACAGTATTTTCTCCTTCCTCTAGCCTTTAGCACAGAAAAGGAAATTAAGCATAAAGAGAGAACTGTGTCCTATCTTGGACAGCCCCAACAACAGAAAAAGCAAAACCAATAGGAGGGAGAATATTTCTTCCTGTGGTTTCTTGTTCACTCCTGTCACCACTCTGTCCCAAATTTGCTGCTTTGTCCATCCCCACAGAACCTCAGCACATGAGCACGGGGCATTGGTCTACCTGAGCAAGCTCTTAGAAAAAGGTAAGCCGTGCTGTTTCTTGTCAGGCTCCTGACTGAATTGGATTGCCTTTGTGACCACAGGGATAAATGCTTATTAAAAAATGAAGGTTAGAAGCATAAAAACTTAGTTGAAGGACTAGCTGAGCTTAAAGAACTGTAGCTGAAATTTTAGGGTAGTGATGTGAGAGAAATCATCTTGACTGCTGGTGCCCAGGATAACTTTTAACAGGTTACAGGTGGGAAAAGTAGAGGAAGGAAATCTTGTTTACAAATTGAAGAAAAATATAGACAATGAAAACAGCTGTGATCAGTCAGGAGTTTCCCCAATGCTTTTGCTGTTCCAGTTGTTTTTTAGAGGAGAGAGCACTTTAATTGTTGTTTTGGGAAAGTTTGTGTGCACTGAAAATGAAGATGTCTAAATAAATGGCCTCTGTTTCTTGACAGCCCTTGGTTCTCTTCAGTATTTTTCAGTTCCAGGACATTGATCTGTTTTTTGTATAGCTGGAAACACTTCAATGAGATACTCACATCCCTGAGGTTACAAGACTCAAAATCTGGCTTTAAAAATTAAATAAGGATTTTATTTGTTGCACTTTGCCATCTGAAATGTGGCTTCTGAGAAATGGGAAAGAGCACTAAATTCCCTGCACTTCTTTTGACTTTGGAATGCTTGATTTTATATTATCCTTTCAGCTGAAAATAGGAGTTCTGGTTTCCAGGGGTAAGGAACTAATTTCTAATTGCTTTTTCTGTTTTTTATGTGAATGGGCAAACTTTTAATAAACTAGAAAATAATTCCCATAGGAGTTGTTATCTTGTAGTGGGTTTGAATTATAGCCGTTCTTGCTTTGGCCACCAAAATGCTCTACAGAGACTTTAGAAAATTTTCATTGAATTCTCCATTCTCTTTGAGATAGATCAAGAGGAGGCCTCCAGGGTTTCTATGGGCATGTTTTTTTATCAGGTACTAGAATCAGAGGAATTTCTAATCTTTGAAAGCCTATATTTGTTTCTGAACTGAAACGTGAAGTAGATACAAAAATCAGGCTCTAGGAAGAACAAATTCTCCTTTGTATTCTGCATAAGGAGGAGGAGGAAGGATGCAAATGAGTAAAGAAATAATAAAATGCAGATCTGCTAAGAATTGTCTTGCTAGAATCAGTGTTCCCCATTTGGTTGTTTTGACTTTGTTTTTTGTTCGCTAGTGGAAGATTTTTCATCCATATTTGCAGGCAGCATATCTAGTTTGAGGTCTCTTATGCTTCCAGTTTCTTTTGTTCTGTTTTGCTGCTTTTGTTTTTTGGGGTTACTCTTCAGGGAGGGGAAATCTCTTGTGTCCCTGTGCACCTTGATTGTTTTTTTTATCTGCAAGGTAGTGTTATCTTCTTCCACTACAGAAGTGTTTCCTCCTTTGCTCCGTTATTTTGCTCCATTAGGGCATCGTGGTGCTGATTATAATATGCCTCTCTCTGTTGGTGGATCCACATTTCTTTCTCAACCCCACATCTACTTTTTAGTATCAGGTTATCTGTCAGGCATCTCATTTCTCAGTGCCTTTTCTTGTGTGTGTGTGTATGTGTGTGTGTGTGTGTGTTTTTTTTTTCTTTTTTTTAAAATTTATTTCCTAATGCAGATATGTGTGCTACGGCTGTACTTATTCCTTCTGGACCTTGAAGTATTCTGAATTTTTACTGTTGCAGCAAATGATATTTCCTTAGCATGTGTGAAAGGGATGGTGGGAAGCCCTTCTCGCCTTCCCCACTTTTCTTATCCTCTTACTCCTTTCACTGCACCTGGCAGGGCTATTCTTTGTCTGCATGTTTACAATGTACTGTGTACAAGCAGAGTAATTTTAGGCAAGGACAAATTTCCACCATATGTTCGTATCCTTCTACTAAGATAACCAAAATAAACAGGCACTAGAAGTAATTTAATTCCCAACATCTAATGGATTTATTTAAGATTACGGTAAAAAATTGTAACTGTGATACCTTTGTGATAATTGTGATAACGTGTTGTGTAACTTCATGTGTCTGAGTAATTGTCTAATTATCATTCTATGCTTTTTTCAATTCCTCCCCCCCCCCTCCCCACCCCTGACCTCCAATAAGCTCTCAACTCCTCTGGAATAATCTTGTTTGCTGTGCTTGCCTGATACTAGAATTCTTATCAGGTGAAATAGTAAGAAAGAGATGTACTCCAAGACAAGGAAAGATTACTTATACCTAATCTTGCTTGTCATAGTCTTTTCTTCTAGCATCCTCCACCTCATTTGCTTTAATTGTTTTCTTTCATTCATTTTCTAGTTTGGGATTTTTTTCCCCATACAATAAAAATATATAGACTAGAGCTTGCGTACTATCTTCTGTGGGCAGACTTTGTACCAGTTTGATGTCCAATAGGCAAAGCCATAAAATTGCTTATAATTACAAGAGGGAGGTTTTCAAGTGGGAAGATTGAAGAGAGAATTGTTACACACAGGCTTGCTGGATAAGCTGTCTTTCCATAGTTCAAACTGAACATATTTGAAAAGGGGCAGTCATGCTTAACCAAGCTGATAGCCTTCTGTGGTAGGACGACTGGCTGGGTGGATGAGGAGAGAGCAGTGGATGTTGTCTCCCTGGACTTCAGCAAGGCTTTGGACACTGTCTCCCGTCACATCCTCGTAGGTAAGCTGAGGAAGTGTGGGTTAGATGAGTGGACGGTGAGGTGGATTGAGAACTGGCTGGATGGCCGAGCTCAGAGGGTTGTGGTCAGTGGCGCAGAGTCAAGTTGGAGGCCTGTAGCTAGCAGTGTCCCCCGGGGGTCAGTGCTGGGTCCAGTCTTGTTCAACTTATTCGTCAGTGACCTGGAGGAAGATCATTGAGTGCCTCCTCAGCAAGTTTGCTGACGATACTAAACTGGGGGGAGTGGCTGGCGCCGAGAAGGACCTGGGAGTGCTGGTGGACAACAAGTTGATCGTGAGGCAGCAGTGTGGCCTTGTGGCCAAGAAGGCCAATGGTCTCCTGGGGAGCACGAGGCAGAGTGTTGCCAGGAGGTGGAGGGAGGTGATCCCGCCCCTCTCCTCAGCCCTGGGGAGGCCTCCCCTGGAGTGCTGTGTCCAATTCTGGGCTCCCCAGCTCAAGAGAGACATGGCACTACTGGAGAGAGTGCAGCGGAGGGCTACAAAGAGGATGAGGGGACTGGAGCATCTCTCCTATGAGGCCAGGCTGAGGGAGCTGGGCCTGTTTAGCCCGGGAAAGTGAAGACTGAGGGGAGGATCTCATCAAGGTGTACAAGTATGTGAAGGGAGGGTGTCAAGAGGATGGGGCCAGTCTCTTCTCCGTGGTGCCCAGTGACAGGACAAGAGGCCACGGGCAGAAACTGAAGCACAGGCAGTTCCATCTGAACCTGAGGAAAAACTTCTTGACTGTGAGGGTGACAGAGCCCTGGCACAGGTTGCCCAGAGAGGTGGTGGAGTCTCCTTCCCTGGGGATATTCAAAACCTGTCTGGACGCTTTTGCAGTGTGATTGAATCTCGTGATGATATTGCCCAAGGGACACTACTATTCTCCTGGAGGGCAGGGAGATGATAAATGTAATAATTTTTTTTTTTTTGAAAATTAATTTTGCTCCAAAATGCATTGTACAACCCAGAGCATTCAGATTTTAAGTTGTGGTGTTTTAAAAAGGTGTAGGTAGTATATGTAACTTTTAAATTTTCTTGTATCTTATTTTGCAGTGCAATGGAATAGTTTCGTATGAATTTTAATGTTAGTAAAATCATAAAAAGGTTATTTATGGAGGTGATAAGCTACTGTTTTCCTAATATGTTGATTAATTTTAGATTCTGTATATGAAAAGAAAGAGAAGCCCTTAAGAAAGAATACTTATTAGCATTTTAAAACATTTTGAAATATATGAAATTTCGCTATTCAGTGGTATTGCTAATGAGTTATGTTTTTATTCTGCTCTCATATAACCAGTTCTTCCATCATTTGAAAAATTTCATTGTCTAAGTCTTAGATTAAAAAAAAAAATTTGCTATTTATAGTAGTTAAAACAATAAGAGTCTGTTAGCTGGGTTTTGTAACAGATAACTAAACTTCGGTCATCCTGTGAGGTAGGTTTCTGTGTTTAATCTCTGCTAAAAATGAAAGCACTCACTTTGATGTCAGCCAGGTTGCCTGTGTAGCGACGGTTGCTATTAAATGAAATCCAGTTACTCTGGACAAAGTTTCCTCTGTAATAACAATGTAATATCTTTAAATTTTACTGAGTACTAGCTAACAAAATTAGTTTCTGTGAATTCTTGCTTGTTAAACCTGCAGTTATTCAGTGCTGAAGGGGCTGTAAACCTTATTTGTGATTCTTGTGTGAGGGGGGGATGAGAGACAGAACCCATCGGAAAACCCAACCTGCTGCTGGCATTGACGTTCGCCAGTGTCCCCACCTGCCTTCTGCACTGGGGGATTTCACACCAGGTATCCTAGTGGTAACACAGCAAGAGTTGTCGAGGTATCCACACATCTCTGAGTGAACGTAACCCCATTGTTTGATTGGATATTGTTCAGATGAGTATTGTGTAAGTTACACTGAATACGTTATTTTAATCATCAGCTACTCCACCTCATTTATGTTTGCTGCTTAGCAAAACGGCAGGCTTGAAAATCCTACTTCATTTTTTATATTTTAATTTTACAAAGAGAAGTGGAAAAGAAAAAGTGTTTGTTGTTTCCTGACCGTTTCCTGTTGCTGCTCAATTTTGATCAGTAGTATAATGACAGTAAATAACATAAGTTAACATAAATGTCAGTTAAAAAATAATTCATTTGGATCATGATGCCCCTCTAGACCCAGCTGATATCAGGACGTAGTTTAGTTAAGGCTCAGTCAGTGCGTTCATAGTATTGTGTGTGTCACAATTTGCTCACTTTATGTATTTTTGTATAATCCCTGTCTGTATGCTTAATGCTTTTTCAAAATGTGTCCATTTTTAAAGTTTAGATCTTTCTACATGTTTGTAATAAGTAAATGAGTTTATACAATATGAATTATATTTTTTAGATTTAAATTACATTGATGCAATAGGAGAAAAATAGTTTGGGAATGGGGAAGAAAG